TCTTTCTTTGAAGCACATGCAAACATGGGTTCTTTTTCCATTTCTTTGTTCCACTTCCACAACAGGCAAAGTATTACCAGTGATTTTCAAAAATGAGTGTAAGCAAATCACCTGGGGATCTTGTTAAATGTAGGTTCAGATTCTATGGGTCTGGATCGTAATTTTTAATAATTTTCCGGGTGATGCCTATAATATTACTTGTATTCATTTTCTGTTGCCACCTTAACAGATTACCACAAACTCAGTGGTTTAAAACAACACTTCTTTAAGTCAGAAATCCCAGTTAACTCAGCTGGTTTCTCTACTTCAGGTTCCACAAGGCCAGAATCAAGGTGTTAGCCGTTTGGGTTCTTCTTGGTAGGCACTTGGAAAGAATCTGATTCCACGCTCATTCAGGTTGTTGGTGGAATTCAGTTCAGAACTAAGTTGCCCATATCCTGATGAAAGCAAAGATTTGAATCAGTGGAGGCACTCTGTGTTCATGAATTACAAGACACAACACAGTAAAGATACCAGTTCTCTCTCCACTGATTTATAGGTTTAATACAGATCCTATCAAAATCTCACCAGGAACTTTTTGTAGATAAACTTATTCTAAAATTTATATGGAAAGGCAAGGGACCTTGAAAAAACTAAAGTTTGAACAAGAATAAAGTGGGAGGAATCACTATGCCCAATGTTAGGGCTTACCGTCTATCTACAGTGATCAAGAGAGGGTGGTGTTGTGGACATACAGAGATACAGAGTTCAGTATAACAGATTGGAGTACCCAGAAGCAGATCCACACAAAAAAGCCCAACTGATTCTTCACAAAGGTGCAGAAACAATTCAGTGGAGGAAGGATAGTCTTTGCAGAAAATGGTGCTGGCACAGTTGGGCATCCACAGGCAAAATAAAATAAAAATAGCCTACATTTCAGGGGCACCTGGGTGGCTCAGTTGGTTAAGCGACTGCCTTCGGCTCAGGTCATGATCCCGGAGTCCCGGGATCGAGTCCCGCATCGGGCTCCCTGCTCGGCAGGGAGTCTGCTTCCCCCTCTGACCCTCCTCCCTCTCATGCTGTCCTCTCTCTCTCAAATAAATAAATAAAATCTTTAAAAAAAAAAATAGCCTACATTTCACACCTTATACAAAAATCAGCTCAAAATGAATCATGGACTAAAATATATGACCTAAAACTATGAAGCTTTTAGAAGAAAAGATAGGAAATCATTAGGACCTAGATTTGAGCAAAGATTCTTAGAATTGATATCAAAAGCATGGTTGATTAAAGGAAAAATTAATAATTTGGTCTTCATCAAAATTTAAAAGTGTTGCTCTGTTAAAGACTGCTAAGGATTAAAAGACAAGCTCCAGGGTGCCTGGATAGCTTAGTTGGTTAAGCGTCTGCCTTCGGCTCAGGTTATGATCCCAGGATCCTGGGATCAAGTCCCGCATTGGGCTCCCTGCTCTGCAGGGAGCTTGCTTCTCCCTATGCCTCTCTCTCTGTCTCTCATGAATAAATAAATAAAATCTTTAAAAAAAAATAAAAGACAAGCTACAGATGGGGAAAATATTTGCAAACCATATCTCTAACAGAGGACTTGTGTCTAGAATATAGAAGAACTCATCAAATCTCAAGCAACAAACAATACAGTTAGCTCTGGGCAAAAGTCCCATACAGGCACTTGACTGAAGAACACCCAACAATGGGCAGGCTCCATTCATGCTCCACATCACCTCTCAGGCACCCTCACTCACAGGGTTACTTTAACTTCCTTCTCTTCATTGCAAGTTTTTCTCAAATTCTGTCTGATGAATTTAGACACTTTTCTCTTTTTTACAGAAATACCAAGACACTTGAAGGGTTTCAACTGCCAGGAGAGGACACTGTGTGATTGGCTGGCAGCTCAGGGAGCATGGGAGTGATGTGGACGAGTCCATCGCAGAGGCTGCTGGAGCATTAGGAAGCCTTCTTTCCTCACCGGAAGTGAGGCTGGGGTGTAGGGCAGGGAAGGCTCAGAGGCACGGAAGGATCAGCTCCACACCAGTAAGCTTAGATTTATACTGACTTTCATTTTTAAGTGGCTATCTACTCAGCCTCAAGAGACAGACTTTTAGTAACAGCTATGGCATGGGGCACCTGGATCCAGTCCTACGTTTGGTGACAACCTCTGAACGTTCATGAGTAGGTAGCACATGTATGTATGTTCTGTAAGTCAGCCAGGGCAGTACAACGGCGGGAAGACTCTTGTACTCTCTCGCCCTCCACGGAGTCAAGAACATATGCCCCAGATCCCAGGAGTTCTTACCACATATGCTGTCCTGTTGTGTGTGGCCACGTCCTTCTTCAAAAAAGGGCACTGTGCCCTTAATGGCCCCATGTTTGGCACCAGATTTTTTTAAAGAAAGGCCAACAGATTTGGTCAGAAAACAAATAGCCCCTTTTAGATTGAAGCGATATTTAAAAAAATTTTTTAAAGATTTATTTGAGAGAGCATGTAAGCAGGGGGAGGGGTAGAGGGAGAGAGACTCTCAAGCAGACTCCATGCTCAGCATGGAGCCCAACGTGGGGCTGAATCTCACAACCCTGGGATCATGACCTGAGCCACAATCAAGTGGGCAGCTTAGCCGACTGGGCTACCCAGGCGCCCCAGCAATTTTTGAATCTGTGTAAACAACAGAGGCAGGAATAGGCAAATGTATTCGCTCCGTGTGTCCCACAGGATGGCACCCAGAGAAGCCATGTGATAGCAGTGCATATGGTAGAACATACTGCTGCTGAGCAAGCCTTACGCCACGGGAGAGGAAACCCTCTCCTGACAGTCTCCGTGCTGGCGAGGGAGGGGCAAGTGGCCTCGGACAGGCTGCGCACCACGCTCGCCCAGTCTCACTTGCTGGGTGGAGCACAGGCTAGAGCAGCGGCTGTTGAATCCTGGTCTGTGCAGCACCTGTGTGGACATAGGGATTGCCAGGCCGACTCACAAAATGAGAACAGGCATGGATAGAACATCGTAGGAGAGAGTTTAGTTCTCCTGCTCGTCAAAGGAAGAGACAACTGTTCATCTTCGATTTCTTAGTGTGTGACCTAACACTGTGAGGTTTGCTGACTGAATGGTTGTAAACACAGAGTTTGTTTAGAAATAGGAAAGAAGTTTATTTCTGGAAATAAGGATGTGAACACTGTGGTCTCTAACAGTAGGGATTTTATGTTAATAGGAGAGAGCAAGTAGAATCAACCCATCTTCAGAATCATTCATTCATCAGGTCAGCCAGGTGCTGAGCGTAGAGTAGTGAGCCAGTCATTCATCTCTGTCTCAGCTTCGTACCAGCCCTTCTCTATCCTGATCCGTAAGCAGGGGACGGAGGCACAAACATTATTTCCTAGGTTCTTACTATCGGTTGTAATAACTGGAAATCAAAAGGTGGTGGTAGTGGGGAGGAGGATGGTTAAAAGTTTTAATTCTGTAGTGAATACCCCAAACTAGTTTTGTAATGATAAGTTTTATGGGTCAACATGACCAGGCCATGGGGTGCCCAGACATATGGTCACACATTATTCTGGGTGTGACTGTGAGGATGTTTGGGAAGACACTAACATCTGAACTGGTATATGCATAAAGCAGAATCTCTTCCCTAATGTGGGAGGCACAAACATTATACCTAGGTTTTTACTATCAGTTGTAATAACTGGAAATCAAAAAGTGGGGGGAGTGGGGAGGAGCATGGTTAAAAGTTTTAATTCTTTAGTGAATATCCCAATTACTAATAGCCTACTGTTGACCAGGAACCTTACCAACAAAGTTGATTAACATGTATTTTTTGGGGGCGCCTGGGTGGCTCAGTCGGTTAAGCAGCTGCCTTCGGCTCAGGTCATGATCCCAGAGTCCTGAGATCGAGCCCTATGTCAGGCTCTCTGCTCAGTGGGAGGCCTGCTTCTCCCTCTCCCACTCCTCCTACTTGTGTTCCCTCTCTCGCTCTCTGTCAAATAAATATTAAAAAAAAAAACACATGTATTTTTTGTTATATGTATTACATACTATATATTTGAAGTAAACTAGAGAAAAAATGTTATTAATAATAAGATATATTTACAGTACTGCATTTGTTGAAAAAAATCTGCATATAAGCAGACCTGTGCAGTTCAAACCAGTGTTGTTCAACGGTCACTGTTCTTCTATAATGGTGACTTAAAAGTTTTCTCACAAAACTGAAACTTTGACTATCAGGAAGGAAAAAAAAGATGGTCTACAAAGTGTGCTTAAGAAAAGTAAATAGCAGGGTGCTAAGTTGGCTCAGTTGGGTAAGCGTCTTTGATTTTGGCCTAGGTCATGATCTCAGGGTCCTGGGATTGAGCCCCACATTGGGCTCCACTCAGCACAGAGTTTGCTTGAGATTCTCTCCCTCTGCCCCTTCCGCTCATTCTCTCTCTCTCTCAAATAAATCTTTAAAAAAAAAAAAAAGGAAGAAAGAAAAGTAGATAGCCTGAGGAATTAACTTAATGGCTAAAACTGTCTTCATGAACAAATGAGATGGCACCACATTGGTGACCTGGAAATTAATATGTAAGAAGACCAAAATAGGGGCGCCTGGGTGGCTTAGTCGTTAAGCGTCTGCCTTCGGCTCAGGTCATGATCTCAGGGTCCTGGGATCGAGCCCTGCGTTGGGCTTCCAGCTCAGGCAGAGTCTGCTTCTCCCTCTGCCTCTCCCCCCAGCTTGTGCGCTCTCTCTCTTGCTTTCTCTCTGTCTCTCAAATAAATCTTTAAAAAATAAAATAAAACCTTAAAAAAAAACCCACCAAGATGGTTGTACACTAATAATGGGAGTTTTGAAACCATAAGTGATACTTGCTTTAAATACTTGGTTTGACTCTACTGACCTAAAGGAAGTTTGAACTGAGCAGGCATAAGTTGTGATTCATCTACTATAGTTTCCAGTGGAGTGGGTCGTGGGCAGGATACCGTCTGTGGCTTTAGCAAGCACGTGGTTAGGCCCAAGAGGACTGAAAGCTGAGAACCAAGATAAGCATTAGCGAACTTATCATTTTATTCTGATTTGATTAATTTTCACACTGTCTGCATAGGAATATTTTCTCTGCAGAGAGTAGCAATATTAAAGAATGGCATTCCATGCCTGGCATACATTCACAGTGATTTCATGATGAAGAACCTAAGGTATTCACATTGGAATGCCTAGTCTGGTCAAGAAACTTGGATTCTTTCTATCACAGTAACCTCACCCTCAACCCGCCAATCTTATGTGATCTGCAAAAAAATGTGCTAGATTAACTCAGAATCTAGAACCTCAGAATTAGACACAAGCTCAAAAGGCTATGGTGAGAAGTTCTTCAGAAGTCTAGATGATATCATATCCAGAGCTATAGGGTCATCTCACGGTTACATTTAATGAATGTTTATCAGCACCTGTGTTCAAGGCACAGTGGGGAGTGTAAGATGTCACGGATCAGACCAGCTGATGGAGGATTCTTTACAGGCACAGCCTTTTGCCCACAAGACATCATAAAGTGCTGGCTGGAGGTGGTTAGCCAGTCTGGAAGCCCATTTCAGTCTAGTAGGTGAGAATAAACATTTCAGGTCCTACCCCTTCCAGACAACTCTCCTGTAGCCTCCCATCAAATAAGCTGTTCCTCAGCCACCTTCTAGAATGTAGAAGAGAATCCATCTCAGCCAGACTCTGTGTCTTCTAACACAAGATGATGGGAAGTGGTCAATAAAGCCCAGCCCAGTTTCTGTGGTCAGGAAGGCCTGCGGGTGGCTTCGGTTCAATGAGGAATGAGCACCAACTCTGCCACGTACGACGTGGGTCACTGTGATAGAACTTTTTTTCCGACGTGGCTTCTCTGATGTTGAACAAGGTATGAAGTTCGGGTGAAGCCTTTTCCACATGTGTCGCACTGATAGGGTTTCTCACCAGTGTGGATTTTTTGGTGTTCAATAAGGCTTCTGTTCCGAGTGAAACTTCTCTCACACTCGTTACATTTATAAGACACGGGAGCCTCAACATTTTCCCACTGGCCTTCCACCCTCCCCTGACTCTCCCAGGTCTCTCCACGTTCAGGATCCTGCACGTTTCTATCGCCATGGATCCTCTGGTGTCTCAGGAGGTGTGAATTCCGCCTAAAAGCTTTACCACACAGGGTGCACTCATACGGCTTCTCCCCCGTGTGGATTTTGTGATGTTCTAGGAGGCTGCAGCTCTGGCTGAAGGTCTTCCCACAGTCCTCACACTCATAGGGCTTCTCCCCAGTGTGGGTTCTCTGGTGTTTGATAAGGTTTGAGCTGTGACTAAAGACCTTGCCACATTCTTCACACTCATATGGTTTCTCCCCAGTGTGGACTCTCTGATGGATGACGAGGGCAGAGCTCCCGATAAAGGTCTTGCCACAGTCTTCACATTCATAGGGTTTCTCACCAGTGTGGATTCTCCTGTGTTTAGTCAGGCCCGAACTCTGAGCAAAACTCTTTCCACATTCATGACAATAGTGCCGCCTACTTCCTGTGGCATTTTTCTGCTTTCTTGGTAACCTGCCCTCCTGTTCACCAGCTTCTACACAGGCAGGAATCTGGGCAATGTCTTCACTCAAGTGGCACGGTATTTCCCCAGGCTCTTGTCCTGGATGTTCCTCATCTGGGGGCAGGTCCGTGATCTCAGCCTGCATGTTACCACCTGAAATAACAAGTGGCCAGACATGGTCAGTTATGCCCTGCCACAGAGTTCCACAGACACTGGGATGAGGATTTCCGTGAAAGGATAAGGGTGGGAATAAAGGGGGACAGCAGGTGCTGGGGAGGAAGGAGACCGGAGAATAGGCATGGGGCCATCGGGAGCAGGGTGCACAATGGGAGTGGAGGAAGGTGGTGAGGACTGTGCTGGGGACACACACACAGGCTCTAAGTCCTAAGGACGAAGGCAGGGCCCTGCACTGGGGCTGGACGCTAGGAGGGCTGGGCAGAAGGCAGCAGGAAGCAGGCAAGTGTAAGGACTTGCGAAACCTTCTGTAAGAAACGGGGCAAGCGGGAACTTAGAAACTGATCCCTAATCAGGGATACAAGCAGTCACTCTGATCCCAGACCAGGACTGGCTTCAGTGCTGACAGATGTGAGCTGGAGCTCCCACTGTACCGGATGGAGCGGTGTGAGCTCAGACGAGTCAAGCTGTTGCCCTGTGTCCTGCGCCCTGATCTCTAGGTCAGCTCTGCTGTCCATTCCAGGTCACTTCTTGCTCTCATGCTCTGTGGGCCCAAGGCCCATTTCCTGAGGAGGACCCAGCTCTCCTCTGTCGAGGCTGGCAGTGGGGAGGGGAGCAACACCACGCACCTACTGTGAGCGAGGCCTGTGTCGGGGGTTGCATGTGCTGCATCCCACTTCACCTGACCAGAACACTGGCAGGACGGGGAAGGAGGCGAGGTCACAGGGGTTAAGGAGCTGGTCACACATGTGGTTAGGAGTTGGGGTTCAGAAATGGTGGCTCTGAATGCAAACAGTTCAAACAGGTTCTCACAGCCCGGTAGGTTCTGACCGATAAAGGAAACCACGAAACCCTAGGAGAAACCAGCACCCATCCGTCTTACCCAGGGGGGTCAGGCCGCCACAGTTCTCCTGCCTTTCATCTCTGTGGAAGCTCCCCCGAGGTGAATCCAGCTGTGTCCATGCAGGGGAGAAAGCCAGGGCCACGTCTTCCGTTTTCAGCAAGCCCTGAAACAGTACATGATCCCACCTAGCTCCTCTTCCCCAAAGTCACGCCCACAGCTGGGCACAGGAGAGTGAACGTCCCCACTAAAGGGGCTCTTTAAAAAGACCAAGTGTGGTGTGCTATACCTACTTAACCCTATCTCTAATAACATTTTGGTAGAAAAATATATATATATAACCATTAAGGAAAAAATATCACACACATTTGGAAAAATACTTTCATATAAATATCTAAATAGTTCAGAACGTAAAAGGGTTTGGAAAACAAGGGACAGTACAGGGAAAGGAGGAGAAACATACCCAAACCTTTTAAAATATTTGTGCTGTGCTTTGGCAAAGTGGCCTGGGGGCTTATTTATATTAACGATTTTAAATATACAATGAAATCCAGGTCTAAAGTGAAAAAAAAAAACAGGGAAAACATAGATATTATAGGGCCTCAAACACTGAGATCTTCAAGCAGGACATGAAAGACAGGGTAAGGTGTTAAAGTAAAGAGGTTAAGTAAAGAGTGTTCAGATTTTAATATTAAACCTTAGACTAAAGAATATGCCTCATCTGTTCCTTCAAGTTTAAGTCCCTAGAGGGCAGAGGCCATGTGCTTATAACTCTAAGAGCATAATTTATGAATCTTTAAAAAACAAAGCTGGGCGCCTGGGTGGCTCAGTCGGTTAAGCGACTGCCTTCGGCTCAGGTCATGATCCTGGAGTCCCTGGATCGAGTCCCGCATCGGGCTCCCTGGCATCGGGCTCCCTGCTCGGCAGGGGGTCTGCTTCTCCCTCTGACCCTCCTCCCTCTCATGCTCTCTCTCTTTCTCTCTGTCTCAAATAAATAAATAAAATCTTTAAAAAAAACAAAGCTAAATCATCATTACAACAAAATGTTCGGTTTGTATTTACTAAATCGCCCTGTGGAAGAAGAAAATCCCACTGATAAAGGAGCTGACCAAACAGATGGGGCATGAAGACTGGGGAACCAGATAGTACCCCGCGCTAGGAGTAAAACAAAAAAATTCTTGGAAAATAAAGGCAGACAACAGTAAGCAACCTTGGGATTGATAAGAAAACTCCAACTCCATGTGGATGTAGGATGAGGGAGGAGGAGTGGGAGAAAGGGACCTAACGGGAAGCCCAACAGCAGTGAGGAGTGCTGGGGAGGGGGCTCCAGCTCACCTGGGGCTCTGAGGGCAGCCTGGCAGCCACCACTGCGTCTCCTCTGCAGCGCCCTCCCGGGGCAAGCCCAGGAACCTGGAGAACTAAGAAGGAAAGACGCTCTGGATGAGATGGACCCTGGCACCCAGCCTCCCTGGCCTGTGGATTCCAAATTCAAAAACTGGGCTAGTAAATTCCTGCCAGGAAGTTCATACAGAATGTGCTCCTTTCCCCAGTGCCTGGTCCCTACCAGCTCCAACCCTAGGCCTAGAGAGGCGTGGTGTGCTCCTGCAGATGTGCATGACATGAAAGCAACATCAAAAGAAAACAAAGCTTTCCATTTGAAGATCTTCAGTCTTGAATTTTGCTGAGAGAATGGATAAGAAGATTTTTGATGTTAAAACAACTCTTTACTAGCTCTTAGGGTGTTTCTGCTTTAGTTTTAAAAAACTAAGAGTCAGATGAGATTAGGCCTAGAAAGAAGAAAATGAGTAACGCTTACATGGAACTTGCTTAGATTAGAGAAGTAAAGGGTAACTTCCGGTTTTCCTGGAAGAGCTGAACTTTGCAAGGGGCAGAGAACAAGTTAGTTTAGGTCAGAACCTGTGTGTTGAAATAAAGACTGCGTGTCAGCTGGTGTGTCCCAGGGCAGTGTGTCTTGGGAATACACCCAAATGTGCACAGCATTCGAGGAACATATGGTGCTTTCCCATGGAGTGATTCTCACCCTGTTCTAGTTACAGACCAAGGGTTTAGAAGATTTATACTCTTTGATTTGCAGCAGTCCTACAATGTCTGGGATTTACATTTCTTGCCTTATATTCTTCACAGCACTTACCAATAACTAAAATTTCATCATTACATTCTTTGCCATCTTCCCTTTTAGAATGTAAGCTCCAGTGAAGCAAGAAATCTGTCTTACTGACAGCTCTATCCCTGATGCCAGAACACTGGCTACCACACTTGGGGGGGGGTCCTCCATAAATTATGTTAAATGAATGGAGGTCACTCTGTTATTAAAAAATCAATTCTTTCCAAACACCACTTTTAATAGTCTTACATTTACTAGGTCAGGTTTGGTTAGAAAAGCTTCCCACCATTGTTTGAAATTTCCCTGTCATCTCAGTCTAAAAGTAAAGTAGATCTGTGATGGGCATATAAAGCACTTGTCAACAGATCTGTCTTTTAAATGAAGCTGATGAAGTCTGTAGAATTCAAACTGCCCAGAAGATAACACTCACCCCTGTCTGCTGAGGCCTGGGAGCCCAGAGATTCGTGCTTGAGCAGAGCCTTCATTGGCTGGAACTGGGTACTCCATGGCCTCTGAGCTGGTGTCAACACCGCCATCTTGCAACAGAGTAGCTGCCTCTGGTCACCACCTGGGACCTGGAAGTCATTCACGTATTGATTCATCAAAACTTCTATTATGCTTTCTATGTGCTAGTACTTTCTATTTTCTAGGCGCTATTTCTAAGAGCCTCATGAATATTCACTGAATGCAGATACCAACGACACTATGAGCTAAGAACTATTATTATCTGTATTTCTGTAATGAGGAAACAGAGGCCCAGAGTTGAAGCAACTTGCCCAAGGTCACCCAGCTAATAAGTGGTGATGCTAGGATGGGGAGTCAGGCAGAAGGAACCCAGAGTCCATGCTCTTAACCACTACCGCATGCTCCTTCATTATATACGTTGTGCTCTATGTGAAGACTCTTTGGGAACTAGTGTTAAGTTCTCAGAGTACTGTGTCTCATCTTATCTGAAAAGTGAGGGCAATCATTTCTCGCTTATAGGGTCTTGGGACCAATAAGATGACAATATGTACAACCACCTAACTCCGGACCCTGTACATGGTCTATCCCCATGAAAAGCAGGCTTCCTTTTAGACATTTACATTAAACTACATTTTCCAAGTTACTTTCTCACACGCAGTTCAGACTTAACCACTTCTGTGAAGAATGAGGAGGCTGAAGCTAAGAGCCTTGAAACGACTTCACTGCTCAAGGGCTGGCGGGCAGCAGATCCCAGTCCAGAGCCCTGGGCTCCCGGTCGGTGCCTGGAACGCTCTGCCACATGTCCTCTGAAGGAACAGTCACAAGATGGTGCACAGAGGACACAGTCTCATAAAGGACTGGCGAGGCAGGAAGACGCAGGCGTGTTTTTGAGCCCGAGGTTCTTGGACTCCTTCCCACGTGGTCCAGGAAAAAAGTATTTTAATGCTTACTAGCCTCTAAGAGAAATTTGGCCTTTCCTTCCATTATAAATGGAAGCAACAAACCAATGTGGCATAAGCCATAGGACTTAGTCACCAATAGAAATTACAGATGTTTTCACACCACATCACAGCCAGGCAAACATTGTCAAAGTCATTCATGCTTGTAACAACTTTGAACCTCTGCCAGTTACCGGGCCTGGCCCTAGGTCTTACTATTTGGTGCATTAATTGTAAAAAACATACAGATAATTTTATCACTAATTTGTTTCATGCTCTGTTAACTGTATTTCAATATAATTGAGTTCTTTTGTAATCCTTCATGTTCTTAAAAATACTAGTATGAGGAGGGGTCCAGGGACTTCTCCGGAGGGGCAAAGAGGTTCATGATACAAAAAGAGATTAAGAACTTCTGGATCTTCCAGAAACGCCCCTCACACCGATCTTGAGACTTCAGGAAGAGACAGAGCTCGGCTCTCAGACACTAAGCCCTTTGCCTCTACCTGCGGCCCTGGCTCCTCCAGCTGCCTCTGCAAATACTCCAAGAGCACCACCACCTCGTCCCCGCTCTCCGGGTGCCGCTCCCGCACCCAGGCCTGCAGGTCCCCCGGCAGGATGGTCAGGAACTGCTCCAGCACCAGCAGCTCCACGATCTGCTCCTTGCTGTGCGTCTCGGGCCGCAGCCAGCGTCGGCAGAGCTCCCGGAGCCGGCTCAGCGCCTCGCGGGGCCCCTCGGCCTCGGGGTAGCGGAAGCCCCGGAAGCGCCGGCGGGCGTTTTCTGAACCCTGAACAGGGCCGGCCCCCTCCACAAAGGCAGAGGCCTCTTCCTCTTCCACTTTTACGACCAGGAGCCCAATCTGGTTCTCTGCAGATTGGTCGTCCAAGGCTGTGCCTTCCTTGGATTCTCTGGCCATCCTGGGCCAAGGCGGTACTTGGGCCTCACTCTAGCGGGCAGCTGTATCTCTGCAGAAGGTGCCTGCAAGTGGGAAATCACTATTAACCCGTCAAGTGCTAGCAGCCTCCCTCTCGTGCCCATGGGAGATCTGGGGCACTGTTATGTGAACAAATAGTGCCAAAGTCAGTGAATCAGTGTCGTCAAGTCTCTAGATCCAAATACCAGCAAACAGGTGAAATACAGAAGCAAATTAAAGGTGTTCAAACTTTGCTACACATTAGAATCATTAGGGAACTTTACAATATCCTGATACCTTGGCTGAACCAAGATCAATTATATTAGTCTGTGGGGGAGATGCCTGGGTGTTTAATAACTTAAATTTTTCTAGATGATTCCAACGTGCAGCTGAGTTTGAAAAGTAATAAGTTAAAGATACTAAAAATAAGCAATCAGCTAAGTTTAGAATGTGAAACATTTTATAGGACAGAAGACTGAAGCTGGTCCATAAATAAATGTTTAAAAAAAAAAAGGAGGGGGAGGGAAGGAAAACTGTCATAGATTAAAAGGGACTGAGTTGGAGCACCTGGGTGGCTCAGTCGGTTGCCCGGCTGCCTTCAGCTCAGGTCACGATCTCAGGGTCCTGGGATCAAGCCCTGCGACGGGCTCCACGCTCAGCCCGAAGTCTGCTTCTCCCTCTTCCTCTTCTTCTCCCCCGCCTCCTCTGCTCACACGCCCTCTCTGATAAATAAAATCTTTAAAATAAATAAAGAAAAGACTGAGTAGACAAGTCAACCAAATGCAAATGGTAAATTATATCTGGATCCGATAGGGAGAAACAGCTGTAAAAAGATATATTTCAGGGGCACCTGGCTGGCTCAGTCCATAAAACATGCAACTCTTGATCTCAGAGTCATGGGTTCGGGACCCACTTTGGGTATAGAGATTACTTAAAAATAAAATCTTAAAAAAAAAAAAAAGACATTTCAAACAATTAGGAAAACTTGAACACAGTGATATTCAGGAATTACTGTTGATTTTGTTGAGTCTAATAATACTATGATTACATTAAGGTCCTTGTTAGAAACTCACACTTAAGCATCTGTATTTATGGGTGAACAGATATGATTGCTGGAGTTTACTAAAAGAAAGGGGAATGAGGGAAGGAAAGATGGAAGGCAGGGGTAGAAGGGAAAGGGAAAGAAAGAGGGGATAGAAGAAAGAAAGAAAATGGCCAAAAGACAGTGTTGAAGTTGAGGGACAGGCATATTGGGGTTCATGCTGAGATGTTTGAAATCCCTCCCCCCACCCCATTTAAAAACTAAAATCCTGGACGCCTGGTGGCTCAGTCATTAAGCGTCTGCCTTTGGCTCAGGTCATGATCCCAGGGTCCTGGGATTGAGCCCCGCATCAGGCTCCCTGCTCAGCGGGGAGTCTGCTTCTCCCCCTTCCTCTGCCACTCCCCCTGCTTGTGCTCTGTCTCTCTTCCTTGGATTCTCTCTCTCGCTGTCAAATAAATAAATAAAATCTAAAAAAAAAACCACACTAAAATCCTACCTTCCTTCCTTCCTTCCTGAATAACACAGTGTGAAAGCATTTGGGTGGGGTCATGGGAGGTGGGAGAGCGCCACAGCTCAGCCACTTTGGAGCCCCGGGTGGTGTGAGGAGGGTGTCATGGTGGTGGGGAGGCAGGAGTGACAGGAAACCTACCACCACCTATTCCATGTCCCCATGCACATGTCACCACCTGTCCTATTTGGGGTTTTAGCCCAAGGGAATGGGGTGAGAAGGCACCGGACTGGGAGACTCCTTACAAACAGGAAGTGTTGATCAAATAAGGAAACATACGGAAGTTAATGAGAGCAAAGTTGCTCATTTTCAGAGAAGAGAGTTACAAATAGGGAGAAAAGCAATCTGATGTGAACCCTGTAATTTGGATTGGAGTTACCGGCGTCAGCATGACCTCGGTTTCCCACACTTAGAGTAACTCGTGGAAACACACCAGTTAAGTACTGAAATACATCAGGCTAGGACTCAGGACTCTCCCGGAGCTCAAACACTGGCACGTGTCCAGCACTGGGCGGAGCCGTGATTTCTAACACCTGGGGCCCTAGACCTTCACTGTTAAAAACCATTCTTGCGGGCGCCTGGGTGGCTCAGATGGTTAAGCGTCTGCCTTCGGCTCAGGTCATGATCCCAGGGTCCTGGGATCGAGTCCCGCATCGGGCTCCCTGCTAGGCGGGGAGCCTGCTTCTTTCTCTGCCTCTCTGACTCTCATGAATAAATAAATAAAAACATTTAAAACAAAACAAAACGCCATTCTTGCTCCTGCTAAATCCAGGCGGCCCCAAGGAAAAAGCATCCCCAAACTGTAAAGCCTTGGAGAGCTCAAGCATCACAACACACAACACAAACCAGTTTGGGTCTTTGCTTAGGGACGGGCTCTTTTTCCTCCTAAAATAGAGAAATCATCCATTACAAAGAGAACTGACGAAAGATAAGATTTAAAGAAACGTCAGAAAAGCCAAGACCACTCATTAAAAATAAAGGTGCTGTCATAATTAGAACCACAGTAATAATCATAGCAAATCTTTTTTTTTTTAAAGATTTTATTTATGTATTTAATTGACAGAGAGACAGCGAGAGAGGGAACACAAGCGGGGAGTAGCAGACGGAGAAGCAGGCGTCCCGCTGAGGAGGGAGCCCGACGTGGGGCTCGATTCCAGGACCCTGGGATCAAGACCTGAGCCGAGGGCGGTCGCCTAACCGAGTGAGCCACCCAGGCGCCCCAATCATGGCAAATCTTGAAACCGTTCTTACTCCGTGCCTGGCACTATGTTAGGGGCCTTACGCATAGTAACTCACGGAATGCTCACAACCCCATGAGTTAGGTGACCTCATTCTTCCCATTTTACAGAGCAGTCAACTGAGGCACAGAGAGGTGGCGGGACCAGGCAAAGCCACACAGCCAGGACGTGGCAGGGGCAGGAATGGAACGAGGCAGGCTGACTGCGAAGAGCGGGCTCCAGTCCGGTACCACAGGGGAACTTAGAGACCTCGCCACTGACCTTGTCCACAGACGGAGCCAAACTGAGCGGCCCCCATTCTGGCGGCTGGTGTGTGCGAGTGACCCGAGTATCCCGTCCGCAAACGCGGGGAGGCGGCGGCCCGAGCCCGGAGGCGGGCACGGCCTCCCCGGCGAGAGGAGGGGGCACCTCCGCACCCCGAGCTGGACGCGGGGCAGCCGCACCGGCGACGGGAGCCCCCGGGCGACGCTCCGTGGACACCCCCACACGCTCTGAAACTGGCCGCCCCGCG